GCCCGTGGGGGTGTGCGGAGGAAGGAGGCCGGCAAAAGCCTCGGCGAAGGCACGGGGCGGGTGCAGGAAGAAAAAAAAAAGAGAGAGAGAGAGAGAGCCCAGGCGTCTGGCCTGGATCGCTCGGTCTTATCGAGCAGCTAGATCTCGCTGTCTCTCCCTCTCTTAATTTGTAGACATCCAGATATAGAGACACTTGGCTATTTCTTTTTTTCTCTCTGCAATCAGATGCAATGGTTTGTTTCAAATGGGTAATAAGCCACGGCCAAAGAAGAAGAAGGAAAAAAAAGGAAAGAAAGGAAAAAAAAAGCTCCAAGAATTTTTTTTTCTTAAAGGGAAAAAATAGTCTTTAAAGTCTAGCCATCTTCCTAGGCAGGAGTGAGGGGTTTGACTTCCCCGGGTGTCACGCTCAGCTGTGCCCAGAGCGCGAGGCTGGCAGCGCCTTTCATCGCCTTTGCTTGTTTTTGCAGGGAGAGCGCGTCTCCGCCAGCGCCGGGCTGCTTTTTTCCCCCCTCAAATCTCTGACAGCTCGGATCTTTGCACAAACTCTCGCTTAAAAAAAAAATCACCCAGGCACACTTTTTGCCTTCAAACCGGAAGCACGTGAGCCAGGGCCGCACGTGTGCGGGGCCAATGGCGAGACGCGACTCGCGCTGACATTCGCGGCTCGGCCCAATGGGTGCGCGCGGGACTTTGCGGATAAATAATCCGGGGGCGGCGGCCGCGGTTGGAGAGGGGGTGCCTTAGCTTGGGCCCGGTGCGTCTGGTCCGCCGCCCCCCCCCACTCCATACCCGCGCCCTCCCTCCTCCTTCAGATCGGGACTGAGGATGAGGAGAAGAGACCAAGGAGGGGTGGATTTCATAAACAACTTGTTGGGGAAATGTAGGATAATGGATGCGTGAGCGCTGACACTTGGACTGGGTCAGGAGGCAGAGGCTTGGGTTCTTTTGCACTCCTATGCCTGAGAAACTCAGTGTCTCCTGTCTCTCTGTCTCTGTCTGTCGGATTGCCTGTCTCTCAATTACACATACATGTTTCTGCTGTTAAGGGAGAAAGCTTGTCATTGCCTGTGCATGTATGTGCGGGCGTGTGCACGCCTTGTGGAATAGGCCTGTGATGTGAAATAGACCTAGAGTTGGCTACTTTCAGAGGTGCACTTTGGCTATCACTGCAACTGAGAAGTCTCACTCTGTTCTTTCTGACAGATCCTCATCCATATCCTTCCCTGTTCAAACCTTCAACACTGGGGAGCTGATCTGGTGCCATAGAGGCAGGCCCAGAGGGTGAAGAAGAGCCGAGAGCAGGCAAACTTCCTTTCCTGGCGTCCAGAGTCCAGACTCTCTTACTGTGTAGAGATGTCCCGGGAAGGCCACTGGCTATGAAGTATCAGAATGCCTAGGGGTACTAGGCCTATGTTTCAAGTTCCTCCCTGTTTGATTTCCCTGCAAAGTAAAAATCAAATAAATAAATAAAAGCCCTGAGCTCTTTTGTGTGGGGGGCGGAGGAGGGAGTCCTGGCCAGCCAAAGATGTGGGAGAATCCCCTAGTTTCTGGGTAATTTAATTGCTTTCGATTGCATCAAACTCCTACGATGTCTTTAGGATCTATCTCTACACTTTTCTTTAGCTTTGAGAGATTACGGTGCCTCTCGCTGCTCCCATGTTCAGGTCTTTTGAGCTCATCTGGAAAGTTTTCCCTACCTAGGGATGGGGAGGCCGGGTAAGATGGTTGAGGATCTTGGCTCTGGTAAGGTTTGTTGTGGGGCTGTTTTGGAGGGCTAGGGCTAGGACTGTCGGCTAAGGCCTTGGCACAGATGCCTTACTGCAAATCCAGTGAACCTGCTCCCCTTGAGCACCATCTGTGACCTCACATCAGGAAAGGATCCCTTGAAAGAGATTGCCATTTGTGGGGGGGGCATATGAATAAAGCTCCCTACCCTCAGCCTTCCAAAACAGCCAGCCCAGTTAGGGTTAGGTTCGGAGGAACATGCAAATAAAAACAGGAAAAACCCAGTTACGCAGTAACTGAAGTTTCTCCAAGAGGGGAGGCAGAGGGAGTTGGTGGAAGACAAGAAATCTTATTACTCAATGTATCTTGAGGATTGCAGGTTTTTCTGATTTGGGGACTCGGTTCATAACTACACCTGCGCACTGGACAGGAAGAGAACCTCTCCCCGAGCGCTGCAATGGGCAGGCCCACCACTGGTCCCTTAACTTGCCCAAGCCACTCCCAGACCCGTCTTGGAGTCTTCCAGGTCCCCTTTGGCCTCATACCCAAAGACTCCCCGAAATCTCCAGGTGCCCCCACTCTCTTCTGAAATGGGGGGTGGAGTCTTATTTATATTTAAGTTCACAAAATTGAAATCTTTATCCCGCAAGCGAGCGTGGGTACTTAATTAAATTCTAATTAGGACACTATCAATATCCTATTTAGCCGCGTAGCTTTTGTGCGCCGCGGTCCCTTTCAGCGCGGTAAATAGGGTCTCGACGCCTTATCTCCCCTGCAGGAGACGCCGTGAGAAGGGCTGCGGAAGATAATTTATAGGTTTTAATTACTCTTCATTCCGCCTGATCAGCTTGGCGTTCATCACAGGCCTGTGAATAAAACCCTGGTCAAAAGCTCTGTCACATCGCGCTGGCAAGACGCTTAATCAAAGTGAGCGGCCCCGCGCGCCGCGCGGCCCGGCTCCTCCACGTAATTTCCAGCCAGCTGATAAAGCCAGCTGAATAATGCGGCGGCCCTTTGGAGACACCATTTACAGAAATGACTTTATTGACGGCTTAACGTCGGTAATTCATTTTACCTTTCATGTAGTGGAGCCCGGATTTGTTACAGTAATGGGATGATAAATGCACCCGCGGCCCACGAGCTCGGGCTGGATTAGGCGACGCTCCGTGCGCGCGTTGGCTTGTCCCCCCCCACCTTTTCCTAGGCCCAGCTTGGGCCGAATGCACTGTACCCCACTCAGTCTGCGCTCCACGACCCCCGCCTAGGCTCTATGCCCTCCTCTTCCTCCTCATACTGAACGTACTATTGGGATATGAGCGTGTTGGCGTCCTAGCAAGCCTTGGAGTGAGGTGTGTGCCGGCTCAGGGATGAATGAGCAAATTGGCTGAGACGTGTGTGTGTGTGTGTGTGTGTGTGTGTGTGTGAAAGAGAGGTCCAGGAAACTGTGAGCCCGGAGCTGGGCATGTGGGTGAGAAGCTGGGGGCAGAGTGATCTTTGTGTACAAGCATGTGGGTAAAAGGGTTTGAGAGAACTGTGAAACAGAGAGTACAGTGGTGCACGGGTCTCTTCCAGAGTGCTCCTTTCTGCTTTTGGCAGTTAAGGAATTTTTTTCCAACCTGATAGACACCCAAGGCAGGATGGTAGGGTGGGGAGCCTGATGGAAGCAGGTGAGGGAGGCTGTCCCAAATGGAGTGTAACCCCCCTCCCCCAGAAGCCATCTGTTCCTAGGCCAATGGGCTCAGAAGACAGAGGAGCCCAATATCTATTCATATTCTTTGTAATTCTGAGTTGTGCAGTTACCTGAGCCATGTCTCAGGAATTGATTGTCCCCAGGTTACCTTTCCGTAGCCAGCCAGATAAAAGTAGAAAATGACAAGAGAGCAAACGATTTTGTTTTGTTCTAAATGCGAAAAGTGAAGGGGAGCCTTCTTCCTCTTTGAAAGAGGGGGTGGGGCTCAAAATGCTGTCAGTGCTCAGGAGTGATGTCAAGATAACTATGCTCAGATAGTAGAGAGCTCCAACACTCAGCCCCTCTCATCTCTAGACTTCCTACAAGTTGGAGGCTAATCTAGAGCTGTCACAGGGCTTGGGACAACGGGCCAATCGGAGAAACAGTGTGCATGTATTTGGGGAGAGGGGCTGCTAGAGAAGTTTGAGGATCATCTAATATGAAGACCTATAAATTTTCTAGGAGTAAAGCCTTAGAATTTTTTCCTTTCCCCTGCCCTTTTCCCATCTTGTAAAACCTACTTAGTAATCTTGGAGACTTGAGGAACAGAACTTTCGATGGCGGGGAAAGGGAAGGAATCTCTTAAGAGCTTTGTGTGTCTGTGTATAATTGTGTGCTGGTGACAGGAAACCTTCCTGTGTGCATAATAGTGTGTATGTGAAAGTGTTTGATGAGATTTTGCTGTGTTCTTTCCTTAAGTGAAATTTCCCACTACCCAGTGCTTCGGAGGAATTTCAAATTTCGTTGAGGCAGACACATGTTGGGTGCTGTGAGTTTCCAACTCTCCTTGGAGGATGGGCATGAGGGGGAGAATTGTGAAATTTGATGAAAACCCTGCAGCTTGGCCTGACGTGTGCTCCACTGGCCGAGAGTAGGAGCGTGTTGCCTGCACACGGTGGTAATCGCATTTCCAGTGTAGATCAGATGGCAGTGGGGCCTCGTGGTGCGGGACATGAATGAGTTGTCGGAATACAATAGCTTGCAGCCTTCCTACGGGGACTGGGTGACCAGCGGTTTTGTTGGGAGTGAATGCGAGGAGATTTCTGCTACAAGTGCCGCGGTATTATTATGAGCCTGAAGGTCAGACTATACATCGCAGGTCCCCAAAGCCTATAGACCTTGGGAAATGTGGGGCCTCGAGCCCCGTCATTGTACCTGACAGTCCTTTCAATAGACTAATTCAATTAACGCTTAGGGTTTCGGTCTTCATTTGAAGGCGATAATAATGTGAGGGGTGGGTAGGTGCTGGGGGGATTCGTTGGGGTTTTGGTTAGGGATCCGAAGCAGTTCTGCTTGGAGCTTGGAGTGGGGGTAGACAAGCTGAGAAATAGAATTAAGCTAGTGGGGTAGATGCGGGTGGGAGCGAGGTACACCTTAGAAAAAAATAAACCCTTCTGTGGACTCCTGAAACAGGGTTAGCAGCTTTGTCTGTTGGCACCCAAGAAGAGTTGTGGGCAGGGGCAGGGGCTCGCACACAGGATTTCTTGTTTTCTTGGAAACACACCCATAAGTGTCTGCAGAGCCAGAGAAAAGCCTGCTTTGGGGAGAATGTCACTTTTCGAAATTTCAGTATTTTGGTTTATGTGCTTCGCATCTACTACTCCAGAGTTTTCTTCCCTTTACCCCAGGGAGTAGTTCAAGGTTCTTTTTGTTCCAGAAAATCTCTCTCTCTCTCTCTATCTCTCATCTGAGTTGAGATCTTTCTCCTCTTGACTGTGGAAAACGGGTGATAGATTGCCTGGCTTTTCATAAATTGATTCCGAAGGGCCTGTCTGGATTCTGGCTGCCCCGAGGCCGGCCCAGTGCCCGCCGCGTTCTGCTCTCGGTGCCGAGGAAGCCGGCAGTGAACACACCCGGCTGCTCGCTGCTCGCGGGTTTGCGCCGTGTTCGGGCTGCGCGGGACAGAGGCGGGCGAGATGCAGGGCCCTCGCTGGGGTTCTGGGCAGCCTTCTTCAACCCTATTTGTAAACCCAGACCTGAAGCACAACAGCCGGCCGAGTGCCCTGAACCTGAGAGTTTCAAAACTTGCGACTACACGCACTTCTCCTTCTATTTCCCACTTTAATTCGGCATCCCTCTCCCTCATACTGAATCCTACCCCCAAATCCCAGAACCCAAACTCTTGAGAGTTCAACTTTCTCTTTTCCTGAGGGGGTGGGGGGGGAGAGAAATCGGAGTGAATACAACATTTGCAGTCGCATTTTCTTCTCTTACTTTATTTTGATTTTCGTTCTCACCCCTCCCTCCTCCCCAGCATGTTCCAGGGGACTGACGCCTCCCGAGACTGGCAAGTCTCCCCTCACCCCAGTCCCCACCTGACCGAGTGGCTGCTCCGGCCTCGATCCGGCTCGGCCCGGCTCGGGGGGTCCACTGCCTTGGAGTGCGCGCTCGCGGGTGGGGGCGAGCAGAGAAGCTAGCTAGGAGGGGCCAGAGCAGCTTCCGGGTTTTCTTCCCCGGGACACCCCAACCCTCCGCTGAGTTCCTGCTCCCCAGGAGGAGATCCAAACCCCAAAATAGGAGACCAAAAATTTTTTTTAAAAATCGATGAGAGAAAAGAAGATAAAACAGCATCCAAATCCTTGGCTCAGAAACACCCCAGCGACTCCCAAACCGTGTTCTTTTTGCTCGCTCTGGGGATTAAGTGTGCGCCTCGGGACTCCTCTGGGGATCCGAGTCGTGCCGGACTCGCCTCCCCTGGCCCACTGGGAGAAAAGAAATCCGAGAACTCACTCTCGATGCCAGGGCTGCGAGCTGGCCGCGCTGCCCGCCTTCCTCCCCGCCGACCCCGAAGTCCGGTCTGGGAAGCGTCTTCCTTTTGCCCCGGGGCTGCATCCTGGCGACGTCTCTTCCCCGAGAGTGTGCAGGGCAAAGCTCCGTTCTCCAGCAGAGCTGGGCGCTGCGGACGCGTGGGGAGGGGGCGGGGTGCGGGTCGGAGAGGCTACGGGAAAGTTTAGTGTGGAAGGTGGGGCGGAGCGGGAAGGGTCTGAGCAGCCTGGAAGTGGAGGCGGAAAGGGGGAGGGAGGGCTGGCCTGTCTCCCTTCTCAGACTGGATCGGAAGCCGGCCGGTCAGGAGGAAGGGGCGTCTTGGCAGATGCAGGCCGTCCAGGGCCACCTTCGCGGTCTGCCCGCTTGGGCGACGCTGCTCCGGGCGCGCGGGGCGGGGGGGACGGGTGTGCGGTCCTGCGCGTGCGTGTTTGCGTGTGACCCGGTCTCGGGTCACACACATGCTCAAGGTGAGGGCCAATGTGTGTTCGATGTGTGCAGACCTGGGAGTTTAGGATGCGATTCTTCGATCGTTCTGCCACCCTGCCCACGTGAGTTTATGCTGGGGCTTCTCGCCCGACTGCGAGGCCGGATGGAGGGTCTCGGTGTGCGCGTGTCTCGGCGTGTTTTGTGCGAGCTGAGAGGGGGGAACGCAGTTCCTTCTGGCCCCGGCGTTGGAAGCAGTGACCCAGGACGTCTGCCCAAGCCAACCGCTGTCCGTGGAACCCTCTCTGTTCTTCCCAAACTTTCTCACGATCGTCTTTGAACCCGGCAAGGGGTGCATTTAAATTCACATAAAAAAAAAAGAAATAAAAGGCCCCAGGATTTTTGGTTTCCCACCTATCCCTATCTCAGCATTTCTGGCTGGACGGCGGCGGGGAGGAGGGTGGGCTACACGTGCCAAGGTCAAGATCAAAGGGGCCTGGAGGAGGAGGAGGACCTAATCGAGCGTAGGCCCGCTGGCCTCGTTACGCTGCGGAGCTTTGGAGAGGGGAAGGGTGTGGGTCAGGCTCCGACGGAGGCAGCCGCTGCCTCCCCTCCCCACTCCCCCCCACCCCGCCCCACTGCTCAGAATCGAGGGGCGTCCCAGTTCCATCCCCAGGAGAGCGCGCAGGCGCACCAAACAGTGGTCTTCTGGCCGCCGGAACCACTCCACGTACCCCGAGGTGAGGTGCTCTCTTCCCAGAGCGCGCGCGAGGAGAGCGAGGTCAAAGGAACACAATCCGGGGTAGGGGTAGGGATGGGGGCGAGGGGACACGTTCCCTTTTCCTGTCCGGATCCTACTTGGGGATTCTCAAGATGCCAGCCTTTCTCCCAGCCCCTGGAAGGTTAGCTACTTCCTCTTTGCCAGGAATCTGTCGAGGACGGTGGAGTTAAGGGAGGAGTGGGGGGGGGGCTGTGCAGAAAAGCTCTGGCTTCACTTCCTGGGGCGGGGTGGGGAGTGGAGAGAGGGGAGGAGGGAGGAGGGGGGGTGAAGTGGGCTGCAAAACCCACCCTGAAGTCATTCCAGGCACGTCCGTCTCCTCCTGCGCCCCGGACACCCGCCCCAAAATTGTTATGCAAAGAAGTCAAGTATGTGATTTTCGAGCGATCAAAGCGGCAAAGCCAAATATTAGAGGAGAAGTCAATAATGGATGAGCAGATTAAGAAACCCATCTCGCGGACAATTATCGCCGCAATTGAAAAAGCGCCTCCAAACCCCCCCCCCCGTTTATCCCTCCACCCTCCGCCCCCATATATAAAAGACTAAAAAACATTAAAAAAAAAAAGACAGCAATGGTGGGGGCTAGGGCTGGCAGCCAAGGAAGACAACCTGGAAGAGAGAGATGGAGAGTAGCGCGTATTCGTTAAGGAGGAGATAAGGCCTTCTAGGGGTAACCCCAGGTCGGGAGGGGGTGGGGAGGGGAGGTTCTCTGGTCCAGCAGGTCGAGTATTTGCCTTCGGAGGCCCAAGTTTACTGAGCCCCCCCCCAAAAAAAAGATGTCATGTGAGATCGAGCCAGTCTGCTGGGTTTTTCATTTCGACCCATTGGGCACCCAGCCAGGTCTCCCCGCACAGCGCCCCTTCCCTTCTTTCTTTTGGAAAAGCGACCCAGGCTGGGGGTAGGGTGGAGAACCAGGAGGGAGTGGTGCGGACGCATTCCGGGTTGGTTTGCCTGTGGGGAACCCGCCACCTGTCGGTGACGTCGGAGAACTGCACCGGTGGTGGCGCTCCGGGGTTGGGCGAGGCGGTGCCGAGGTTTGAATTTGAAACCCCGGAATCGTGGAAGGGAGACGGGAGACTTCCGGTTTCTTTCCTGAGTCTAGACTGTCTGAAGTGGCAGGGAGGACGGGATTCCTGGGGAAAATAGTATCCTCCTTGGGATTCTTTCATCTCAAGAGAGCCAAACCTGAGAGAAAAGTCCATGTAGGGGTTGTCTGCTCTGTAGAACACACCTGAAACTCTCCAGCGGGAGACGGGGCCTCCTCTGCCCGCTCAGTGCTGTGTGACCTGGGGTGGGATCTTAGATCTCTCTAAGCCTCGTGCTTCTTACTTATAAGTAAGGCGTTGGATTGGCTTGGTCCTCTCCCAATTCTGACTTTTATAAACATTTAGCATGGAACCATCCAAGCAGTTTGTACAGACACCCGGCTCGCCTTTCCATTGATAACTTTAATAGACTTTGGATCATTACAGATTATTCTCATATGGAATCTAATTTATAGATGAGAGTCTAATGTAGTCTAATCGCATCTGTATCGAACGCATAAGTCCTTCAATGATATCTCTAACCGTTTTCTCGGTTGTCTGAAGATTTCATTTGCGATTAGCATGTTTCTTGTCTCCGATTATTCTAAGTTCCATTAGCTTACCAGTTTCTTTGCAAACAAGAAAACTTCGTCGGCTTGGCAGGGATGGTGACTGCTGGAGAAGTTTCCAGACAGAGAAGACCCGCTCCCAGGCTCGGTCCATGCCAGCGAGGACCTGGAAGAAAGGAGCAGGAGGAGACCGAGCTAAGGACCAATCGGAGCCCCAGGGGGAGGGCGGGCAGGGTGCGGCCGGGCCAGGCCGGCGGCCCCAGGCCACACCGGGCGGGCCAGACCAGCCCCGAGCGCCGGAGACCCTGGAAACCTCCAGCTACGTTCTGCAGACCTTCCGTGAAATTAATAAACCAGGGATGGAGACGGAGGGCAGTGTTGGTTAAGATCGCGTGTGGCTTTCGAGTTGAGGTTGGACTTGGCATTCGTGCACGGCCTGGGGTTCAAGCCAAGGGAGCGGTCGGAGGTTCGGGGTGAGCGAGTGGGTCCGGCAGGGACGGGGCCGGCGGCCCGGGCAGCCGATCGGCTTTGCCCCCTGTTCCCCACACACACACCTAGGCGGCTGGACAAGGCCTCAAACCCAAGAACCCCCTCGCCCCACCTTCAGAGGGGACTGCCACATCGAACCTGGGACCCTTTGCTTTCGGGGTGTGGGGAGTGTTTCTGGCCTTTCAGTCTGGGAGCTGGGGAGTCGTTCTTGGGCCTCCGGCTTTCCCTAAAGCGGCAAATCTCAGGGTTCAGGGAGTCGACCCCCAGGAGGGTGTCTGAGGGTTCAGGTCTGCTCACCTGCCCTCCTTAGCGGCCAGTAGAACACCGGCGAGACCCGGGGGTCACTGGGGCCTTGGGGCGGCCAGGGGTTTACCCGGTGCCCAGCCACCCGGAATCCCCCGGCACCAGTGGTCGGTGGTGCCTGTTCACCACGCCCCATTTGTGACACCAACACTTCAAACCCAGAGCCCCACGTGGTGGAACCCTGACTTTGCGGCCTGGGCCCCAGACCATCCCCACCCTCCACCCCCCTCCATGCGCGCCCGGGGCCAGGGCGGCTGGGGCAGGTTAGGTTAGGCCGTCCTGAGGATCGAGCGTCTGGCTCAGCCTGGCGCTGGGGCGCTGGGGCGGAGGCGCACTCTGAGCTGGGCCCGCGGATTGAGAGGCATCGTCGACCCTCCCCGCCGGGCCTGGGGGCGTTCTGGGGCACGGGGTGCCCAACCCCGAGCCCTACTCTCCCTCCGGGAGGTCTTCGGATTTGAGGATCCCAGAAGGAGCCAAAGTCCGGTAGGATGCACAGAGTTACCCAGAGCCCGCCGCGAGGCCGGAGGTGGGGGGTGAACGCAGGCTGCCCCTTGGAGATCTTGGGGTTCAGGCCAACCTCCGAGATGGGCTCCTAGTAGACACTAGGACGCTGTTAAACTTAATGTCCATATTCTACTCGGTTGTCGCCCTTCTAAGACTGGAGAGGAAGAGAGAGAGGGAAACAGAGATAGAGACACACACAGAGAGAGTAGAAATATGAATTATCTTCTCCATTTCGCAAAAGTAGAAGAGACCAAGAGACACAACCAGACTCACAAGTTTGCCCATACTAAGCTAAGAATAGAGAATCAAATCTGTCCCCGGCTTCTGGGCAGTCAGTTGGAGGACCAGTTGTCTCAGAAGACTGCTCCTGCAGTCCTGGGGTTGGGGGGCGGGTAAGATGGAACTCAGTCACCCCTCTGTCCCCTTCCCAGAAGGTCCCCTCCTCCAAAGCCAATGGAGGGAGGTCTAACACTACCCCCTTCCGCCCCCCACCCGTGGCCTCCAGCCAGGACCCAGCCTCTCAGGAAACCCTCTGCTCCCTCCCATGTGAAGTTAGAAAGGTCCCAGCCTCCATGGGGACAGAAGTCCCCAAATATTAGCCAGCTCAGGGAAACAGGCTGTTGGAAGGCCACATCAATGTGAATATTGGGGTCCCCTCTATTTTCCCCTTCTGGTTTCCAGGCTCATGACTGCAGAGGGCAGAGCTTCATGCTCAGTTCGGCTGACCACAGGAGCACACTGGGAGAAGAAATGTGGCCCTGGACAGTCTCACCTTTCCTCCCTGGGCCTCGGGGTTGGTGTGGATGGCCCAGCCATATGCTGTTCCAGACTTGCTTCTGGATGCCAGAAGACCCTGAGCACTAGGGGGTGTTCTAGAAACTCCCAAACCCCACACACCACAAAATCCTCAGGTGCAGCAGGAAACCATTTTAGGAAAATCACAGCATATGTCAAAATCCCCACCCAACTGACTCCGTGTCCTTGCCCTGCTAGGGCAATGGCTCTCTTTCTGTGTGTCTGCCAGAATCTGAGAGGGAGCGCCTGCTTCCTGGAAGCCTTGAAGTTAGTCCTGGGTGGCTGCAAATAGGGACAGACGTTGGGAGGAAAAGCTATTGGCCATTCAGAAAGGACAGAGGAACCCAAGGCCAGCGTCACCAGAAGCCAGCTTACCCACCCAAAGTCAAGATGCGGAGCTGAGGGGGAGGATGCTTGGGAACAGAGGAAAGAGGAAGAGCCTTGCTGGGGCAGGGGAGTATAGAGGAGGAGGAGCTGCCATTGCTGTCAGGGTCCAGGGGTCCAATAGCTAAGCTGAGCCAAGCACAAAGGTTTCCTCCCTCTCTTCACAGGCCTGCTTCTTTTGCCCTGCAGACTCTCCTCCAAACCAGAGAGGCAAAATACGGGGCTTGGTGGGGGAAGAGGCTGGGCCTGTGGCTCAGTCTTGGTTATCAGGCCCAACCAGCTGACTCTCAATGGTCTGTCTTTTAATATCCAGATTCTTCACATGTGTCAAATGCTAAAGTCTACCTTTCTTAGGTTTGGGAAACACCATTCTGAGATGTTTATAGGGAGCTTTAATAGAGAATTTTGGAGGGAGAGGTGGGAGGGAGAGACAGAGGAAGAGAGAGAGGGAAAGGAGGAGGGGGAGGAGAAGGAGAGAGAGAGAGAGAGATTGAAGGGGTTTATGTTTAACGTTGGTGAACTTTTTCTGCCATCTATTTGGATCTTGAGCCAAAATACCTCAAGGAAGAGATGCCTTCCCTTCCCCCAACTCCCAAGAATCACAGGGTGAAATATTTGCATGAGAGACATGATTTTTCATGGCTGGGTCACTCTAGAGAGAATAAAAGAGTTGGTGCAGGTGTCATCTCTCCCACCTTCCCAATTACCTATAACGTTCCTCTCTTCTCCATCAGTCTTCCCCAGCTATCAAGTATAGACTGGACAAGAATGTTGCAAGGAAAAACTAATTAAATGGTAGTACAGTGCTATGAAAATATTAAGTGTCATGTAAATGCCTAATGCTAGGAATAATCTTGATGGTGGTAATTATGTTCTAGGAAACACATTCCCAGACAGCCCAGGTCCAAGCCCAAATGGGCTGCTTGCTTTAGGAGGAGCCTAGCGAGCACTTGTCTTTTCTGTAGCCCAGCTGAGTATCAGCTTTGAATGGTCATGTGAAAGGCCTGTGCTTCAGGCCCCCCTCCCACTACCTGGGAGGCAACACAGGTTGACTGCTACCTGGGAACCCTTAATAAGTGACTACAACTTTAACACCTGGCCATGGGGTGGCGCCAGAGTCCTGTGAGGATCACAGTGTGGGGGCAGCAGAAGTGTTAGGAAGTAGAATTAGGTAAGCCATAGCAGTGGAGCTGATTAAGTTTAACCTGGTCCGAGCTACCTGATCACTATGTGGATTTCACAGCTCGTCTGGCTGTCAGATAGCTTGTTAAGCTCTGATCTGTTATTTGGATTGCCAGAAGCTTTTCTTCCACATTTTTGGCCGTCTCCCTTCTGATCTGCACACTCAGAAAATCTAGTTCAAGTAGCTGGTCAATCAAATGGCACAAGAGTTAGATGCTTGAGGTGCAAGGTTGTTTGGGAAGCAAGTCTCATGACCCACTAGGCAGTCCCTTACAGTCAGTTCCTTAAATCCACTCATCCCTGCAAGTTGTGATAACTCAATTGGAGGAGCTGGAGAAGATCATGGGAACTCTTCCCTTCACTACCAACCCTGCAGGATCAGTCCTGAATGGAGTGAGGACAGACTGTAAGTCTGAGCTGGGCACTGGACCTCCTGCCTGTAATCCTAGCTACTCAGTAAGCTGAGATTTGGAGGATCAAGGATCCAGGCCAGTACAAGCAGAAAAGTTTACTACTTCATCTCCAAAATTTCCAGCAAAAAGCCAGGGTAGAGGCATGGCTCAGGTGGTAGAGTGCTAGCCTAGCAATTGTAAGGCTCAGCACTGGCAAAAAAAGAATGAGTTCCTGGTCAGTAGAGGTGTTTGGACAGAGACTAAGGATGAATGGAGAGGCAGTTCTCAGAAGAGGAGAAGAGGGCTCTGGAGGATAGCATGAACAAGAAAACCTGACTCTGATCTAGTCTGACTTTCCTGTGCTAGGGTACTTCCAGACTGTGGGTGCCTCTCACCTAAACTAATCCTAGCTACTCACGAGGCGAGGCTGAGATCTGAGGATAACAGTTTGAGGCCAGCCTGAGAAGAAAATCCCATGAGACTCTTATCTCCAATTAACTAGCAAAAAGCCAGATGTGGAGGTGTGGCTCAAGTGGTAGAGTACCAGCCATGAGCACTAAAGCCAAGGGAGAGTGAGAGGTCCTGAGATCAAGTTCAAGCTCAACCCCTAGTACTTGCATATACCAGAGAGAGAGAGAGAGAGAGAGAGAGAGAGAGAGAGAGAGAGAGAGATCCTTGTACCACCTGCGCAATTATCCTTACGAGGTAATTTCATGCCACCAACCATCCCTCCCCCTCCCACTCTCTCCCTAAAAGCTTCCCTGCCACTACTGGGCTGGAGATTTGGAGTCTTGAAATCTGCCAAAATCAGTGGAGGATTTGAGGGCAGCAAATTACAGTGAGTCACCATTGAGACTTTTGGGGATTTCCACCCAGAAATCGCTGGGCCTTTGGGAGATTGACAGAATTGCCTATACATTTTGATGACTGTCCTCAGCTGGGAAATTGCCCTGATTTCACTTCTTCATGACCCCAAGTTTGTTTCAAGGCTCAGCTTTCACACTCGGTGATGACATACTCCTCATTCAAGCAGACTGTAGTTGATTGCTTTCTATTTATAAGCAGAACAAATTCTTGTCTATGTTCAACTCTGAAAGCAACATGCTTTATGTTAAGCATCAATCACTCAAAACCACGTTCCTTTTAGCTTGTTTTAAAATATAAGAACAGGTGGTTTCTCGGGAGATGATGATAATGTACTGGTACTGGGACTTGAACTCAGGACTTCACACTCTCGTTTTTTGTTTTTTGTTTTTTTGGCTCAAGGCTGGCACTTTATCACTTGAGACACACTTTCACATCTCTCTTTGTTGGTAGCTAATTGGAGATAAGAATCTTATAGACATTCTATCTGGGCTGGTTTTGAACCACGAACCTCAGATCTCAGCCTCCTGAGTAGCTAGGATTACAGGCATGAGCCACAGGTGCCCAGGAAGAGAAAATTTTAAAATAGTGTTTTCATTCCCTCTGATTGGGCACCACGTGGATTGAGGGGAGGAGTCAAGGGGTTGGAGAGCAGCCGGTGGCTCCTGGGGGATCCAGGCGGGCCAGGGCAGGGAGGGGTAGGCTGAGCCCTGACAGCTCAAGCCTCAGCCACAGAAGAGCATGGATGCTTCAGCCCTAGGGACTCAGGCCCCTCCGTCTTTATCTCTATCTGCCATCCCCCTTGTGGGCCACGCGGTGTGAATCCCCAAATGCATTGATTAATCATATTCATTAACTCTTAAAAAAAAAAAAAAAAGAATCCTCTCCTCTAGCCCAGCTGTTCAGGAAGGCTTCCATTCCAGCAAGGCGATGGATGCTCTGTTCTCTCCCTACAAGGCCAGATGTGGGGGCGGGGGGGAAGGGAGTAGGGGGTTGGGGATGGGGGAGACAATCTCTTGAGAATCCAGGAGTTAGTTTCCCTTCGGGAGGCGCTGGCGTTGGCCTGGGGCCTGGGAGCCAAAAGGCTCAGCATTGGCGCCAGATCACAGCAAGTTATCAGGTTTTACAATTGAGGGGCAGGGGAGGGTGTTTAGAACAAAACGGGTCAAGGACCCACAGAAACCATCCAACTGAGCCGGCTGGGGGGTCCGAGCCGTTTATAGATCATGCCATTTCTGGGGTGC